TTCCCTAATCCCTCAGTAGTGGTTATAGGAGCAGAGGACAATGTTTTTTTTTTTTTTTTTTTTTTTTTTAATTAATGTAGAAGAAGATTTTAATACGAAATCTGTTTTACAGTAATATTTTATATGCGCGCGTGAAAAAATGTGCTGACAGAAGGGGTTTGAAATAACGATTATTTTCTATTCGATTTTTTTTTAGTGAAAAGGAGGGTACGTGTTGGTCTCCTGTGCCTTTTGGCGGGAAGTGGCACGTAGTGCAGTTTGGCAGTCGGACTCTCTCCCTGCCTGTTGGCACTCTCGTTGATCATCCGCAGCAGCAGTTCTCCCTATCATTGATTCGTTCCTCTTGCCATATCTAGTGCGCCCTTCAATTTCATATCGCTATCTTTTCATCATCAATTGTTAGGATACAGTATGTAGCTTTTTTTTTGAATTCCTCGTTTTGTACTTTCGTCAATCTTTTGCTGGTGCTGCAAAGGGATCTGGGGAGAGGCCCTTGAGGAGTGCCAGCAGCGCAGCCTGACACAAACGTTTGTCAGGGAATTTGCGCACTCGTTTCAATCTGAGAACGAACGGTGCATGCGGAGATGTATTGTTGCCCGTCTGCAGTTGTATGTGCGAGAAGCAGTCTATGGCCATTGTTTTTTTCACTATTTCATATCATTCTTTTTTCATCGTTTATTGTCATTCGGCTTCTTTTTTTTTTTTGTTTTTGCTCTTTCACCTCGTGTTCTTCATGTCCGTCACCGTGGTCCAGCCTTGCTCCTTAAGATCCTATTCTCCTTTTGACCTTTTGCATCCCCTGCTCCTTTCTCCTTTTGTCCTCTCCCACTCCCCGCTCTCCTTCTCTCTCGCCGATGCTTAGTGCTATCCCGCTCTTCACTCTCTCCTGTTTTCTGTCACTTTTAGATCGTGGCTTTCCCGTCCGTTTTTTTTTTTGTCTTATCTCGTCTGTTTTTTGTCTTATCCTGTGATATATATCTGTTTGTGACGATATATATACGATATATATATATGAGTCGGTGAAACTCCGACGAAACAGTTTGTCACAGCCCCTCGTTTGTTGTCCTCTTCTCCCTCTCTGCCTACGGTTTACCGGGCAGTTCTATTTGACGATATATATATATCGTCACATGAATATCAGAGCACAAAAGCGAAAAAAAAACAAAGACCAAAAAAAGATATCAATGCATTTTTTATCTTCTTCCTTACAACTCCCCCTGTTCACGTGGCCGCCCACGAGGAAGGGAACAGCCAAATACAACAAAACAGGGGGCAATAAACAACAGCACAAAAAACGGATCCTAGATGACAAGTCCCACATGCAAGCACCGCCCCAGTCCTACACAGGCCAAACGACGGGACAAGACCACCCAGGACAAA